TATATGCGATTTACATTAGAAAAATGCCTTTGGATTTAGAAAATACAGCAGGCGTGACGAGATATTAATGACAGAAGTTTCGGGTTAGGTTGGAATCACAGTTTTACGAGTAAAAGATACGTGGTAGCGGCAACGCCAGTATACACGGTGGCGTATAATTTTTCCTGTACTTGGCGTTGAGACGCTACCGCGTCTCTAGATACAATAAGTACATCGTGATGCACCACTCCCCGGCGCAACAATATCCTTGCCGTTGTGCAAAATGTTGACGTTTTGTGGGTGTATTAGGTGGAAAAAATGGTTCTTTTTGCATAATTTGCTTCATTTCAAGGTCACTTGTAATAGTTTGAACTAGTAAGCGGTAGAAAACAGGCCTATTTAATAGCACTGTTGTGTGTCCTGTGCGTGTCCTGGTGGCTTCTCTCGACCGAATTCTATTAAATTAATTAACGCGCCAAAATTAGCTAAATCGCTAATATTCTCTGACACATTAGCATCAAAACGTATTGACACGTACCGTCAAAACATTCTTCGCGAGAATGTCGGTCGGTGCCAGTACGTCCCGTTGACGGAACGTTCAGGTGGGTGTCGGTTAAGTGTGAATAGTTTTATTAATACGCGTGTTTTAATGTTTTGTCGTGTCGGTGACGGTACCTGTCGGTGCCGGAATGTGACGGTCCATGTCGTATAGTCTGAATCGACCTTAAAACGAATTGGTCGAACGTCTTACTGTTAGACAAATTGTTCATTTGCTATACCCTATTATCAAATGTACATGTAATTAATAATTATATATTGCTATGCGGTAATATATGTTTTATATGCTGTTTACGAATACATATAACGAAATTTAATACAACTTTTTTGTATTTACAGACAAGCATAGTCAGCTTATTATACAGCAAATCAGAAATATTTATGAAAGAGGTTTATCTGTTTGAGAGAATTGACACAAATATTCGGAACGAAGCCTTAAAGCATTTGAAGTGTATAGTTTTCATTAGACCAACGAAGGAAAATATTGAGATTCTTTGCGATGAATTGCGAAGTCCAAAGTACGGTACATATTATATTTGTAAGTAATAATAATGATTTTTTCTATTTTCATAATTGATACTTTCTAATTCAGAATAGCAAAACAACATGGCAAATAAATTCATTAATACAAGTAATATTTGCAGTTATAAAATAATTTTTTGAAAAAAAATATATCCGACTTCGAAAAAATATTAAGATTGCACTAAAAAGTATGAAATAATTACTATTTCATTTATATTAAATGATATTCAATAATATATTAAATTTCTATTTCCTTTATATTAAATTATGTTAAATAACCTTTTCGTAGTCGGCACAAAATTAAAAATTTTTAATTCCTGCTTGAGTTAGTTTTTGGTGAAGGCGGCATAGTTGAATGGTGTTAATGTATACATGTATACTGTCTACGTGAAAGTCCAGGTCGGACCCCTGAGGTTGTTGATGGCAATAGACTTCCCCAGAAAAAGAGGACCCAAAAGCAAAACTCCTTACAATTGCTCAAGACTAGAGTTTTACGTGGTTTCCGAGTACTTGCCTCGATGAAATGTAATAATGGAGAGAGCTTATCTTTCCATTCTCTTTTCTGGTCGGCTGTGTGAGGGTTCGTTAGAATAAGAAACCCTACCAGTGGTCACTGGTACTAATAATCAGTTATTAGGCGCCTGTTTGTTGTTTTACAAACCCATCACCTTCGTGTGGGTGCAGGTATGGCCGTATAGCCGAGGTACTGTCCTATGGAACGCTCAGCCAGACAATAAATGTCTACGTGAAAGTACTGTCTGAATAGATTTGGAATAGTTTTTGGTGAAGGCGTGATGGAGAAAAGTGTTAATGTATATAATGTCTAAAGTAGATTTTGTCCCTCCGACAGAAAATTAAACCAAATTTGGTAATTTTTAATGTAAGTAATTTTTAATTTTGTGCCGACTACGAAAAGGTTATTTAACATAATTTAATATAAAGAAAATAAAAATTTAATATATTATTGAATATCATTTAATATAAATGAAATAGAAATTATTTCATACTTTTCAGAGCAATTTGAATATTTTTTCGAAGTCGGTTATATTTTGTTTCCAAAAATTATTTTATTTCACTCTTTTTAGTGGCAATCTATAACCAATAAGTTTTATGCAATGAGAATAGTTATGAGCAATATACAGGATGACCCAAAAACGTTGGAGGTCCTTGAAAACGGTGGTTCCGTGGCGGTTGGGGGGGGGAGGGGGTGATTTGAAACAATTTTTCCTTAGCGAAAATGGTGTTTGAGGCTCCGTTAAGGAGATATTCCAGAAACAGAAACTCGCGCTCTAATTGGTTGGGGGGTTCTGTCAATATCTCCTTAACAAAGCCTCGAACTACATTTTCAGTAAGAAAAAATTGTTTCAAATCCCCCCCCCCCCCCCGAAGCACTCTATTTAAGTACATCCAATATTTTTGAGACACCTTGTGTAGTTGCAAATGGGATTATCAGGAATACATGTGCAACTAAATGTGAAAGAATTGATTGCGTTTGGTAAATTCCTTGTCGAGCTACACCAGAACATAGCAATTTTGCACCAACAATGGTTTTAAATAATAAAGTGTCCATACATTCTTGCGAATGGGAACATTACGAATTCATCTGTTATGAAATGCGGAAGGTTCCATCGCAATTGGTTAATTCCTTGCCGGGTTATATCAAACAATAGAAGTTTTTCAGTAGCAATTGTAATAAACATTAACAAATTCATAAATTTTTCCAAATGAGAACATTATTAAATCATCTGACATTATATGTGGAAGACTTCATCTCGATCGGGTAATTCCGTGACAAGTTTCAGCAAAGAATGGGAATTTTGCCGTAACAATTGGTATAAACGTCAAGAAATTCATAACTTCATCAGATACAAGAAGTTTCAATCCTATTGATCCATCGGTCTCGGAGTAAGAAGCAGTACAAAATTTTTCTGTTTTTTGCACAAAAAAAAATCGGTAAAAAATGAGAAATCCAAAATGTCTTGAGAATGGGACCACCCCGAAGACATGCTCTACAAGATGCAACAGGTTTCATCTCGATGGGTCAAGCCATCTCAGCGTAATCGAGTAACATACATTTAAAAAAAAAAAGAAAATATACATGTCGAATAGAGTAACCTCCTCCTTTTCGAAGTTTCCTGCAACGCTCTCCGACATTTCGGTATTATTATTATAAACTCTGTTTGTACAATTTCTTTATCTGTATCCATGTTTAAAGTTTCCATTTCTTACAAAACTATACTGTGCAATGGAGCTCGCTCTTTTCGCAACTTCGAACACTCGCGGATAGTGATGTATTTTTCGAATATAGTAATGGTTTCCTGCATGATTTTCTGAGATTTCTAACGATTTCTGCTCACGTTACGTTTTTAATAGTCTACGCTGGTGGTGCTCATCGAGGTGCCCCCCCCCCCCCCCCGGGAGGGGTGGATGTGCGAATCGGTGTTTGTTAATAACATTTTTAAAAATCACCAATAAAGGTGCCCTGTTTTCCTAATTGGCTAAGAAAAATGTTAGGGGAATTCAGTCGCAAGGTCACCGCCACCAAATCACCATTAATTAAGGACCATAGTTCAGTTCGGAATTTCAGTCGTTGTAAACAGTTTCCAATATTCTAAGAATCTCTGAATTGGCAGGTAGCAATAATGGGTTTATGTAAACATTGAGCATCTATTGCCTTCTATAAACGCTTTCGCGACGAGTACCTAGGTCCCTTTTTCGGATTATCATTCATTTGTTTGAATATTTTTAGAAAGTTTCAGTACAGCGAAGCTATTTTATAAGATTACTACCTGCCACGACCAAGAAACGCGGAATTCCGTAGAATTTAGGGCCAAGATCCAGATGCGTTTCTGGAGGGTGCTTGATACCCAGTGGGTTAAAATAGTGGAACATACATACATAAAAGGAATCTGTACGAATTGAGTAACTACCTCCTTCTTCAAAGTTGGTTAAAAAGTAGATTTGACTCGGCCATATCAAAAAATGCTTCGGATCCAAAGGGTTAAATAAATAATATTCCTTGCATTCGCTATATTTATTCGGGCCCTTGCTTTTTTAGAGTTCCGAGCTGGTCGCTTTCAAACCGAGCAGCACGCTTTTTCTGAACCGCTCACTGCACCGAGTTTTTCGACAGCCCTAATGCAGGGTTACTCTCGTTCTCCTGCATTCATTTATTATGAAAAAGTATTTTTTGAAACCTTTTGCTTTGGCACGTTTCAATCAAGTACTCGTGCAACTTTATACAGTTTTCTCCGAAATTTGTTTAAAAATAATTATTTCAACAATCTTTACTAGTTCATTGAGTTTTTGTTATATTGAACAAAATAAGTGTATTATTTCTAAAATACCTACAGAACAGTTCACTAATTAACAGCATCAAACTGTAAAGTGCTGATAATGTTAATATGTTATTAAACTATTTAATTAAGTATTATAATATTTTTCCCAGATTTCAGTAATATTATCGCAAAAGCAGATATTAAACTATTAGCTGAAAACGATGAACAAGAAGTAGTGAAAGAAGTTCATGAATATTATGCAGACTATTTAGCTGTTAACCCGCATTTATTTTCACTTGGAATCAAATCGTGCTCCGAAGGTAATATAGTTTTATGTTTATTAGTTTAATTAAGAATTTAGTAAGACAGTCATAATTAACTTAAATCATATACAGGGTGAGGCATTTAAAACAGGCCATCTGAATAATTCGTTTACTTTTAGCGATATTAAAAAAAGTGTCCAACAAAAATTGTTTGATTTTGGGGGCACGTAACGTGGTACCAATAGCTTTTTTTATCGGTGGATGTTTAGATGTTTCCACTAGGAAGTGGACAACAAAGACCTTGGGCGATAAACGCCTGGGCCGGTATTCTTAATAATAACGTAATTAGTACTTATTTTATTGCTTTATCTATTGAATGTGTTACGTTCCCGTTTCTAAATCTTCTTATTTGGAGTCGGATGTGCGCATCCGGTATTAGTCACGTAGGCATAGAATTGTCGAAACCAACGCGAAGCTAGGGCGTAGTCCCTCGAAACTGTGTGACGTTCTGTACACGTCTGTATGTGCTCTTATGAATTTTACTACACGAGGAAACTGAGCGAAATCGGGTTCAAGTCCCCTTCGAGCAAAATCTTAACCGTTTAGTACGTAGTCTAGTATTAGGCATTATTTTATCGTTGTAGTCGTCCCCCGTTTGCTCACCTTCGTAAAAACCGAGGAGGATTAGATTCTCGCTTCGCGGAATCGAAACTATACAGTTAAACTCAATTCTTAATTGTAACAACTTAGATTCTAATTAATACACCGCGACAATTATTCTCAAAACAATTACAAGTCTCGGTGCATATCAGAATATACGAATAATCAGTCCAAAATCCACTAAGGTGTACGTTTACCGCTCGAGGTACGTCAAAATTGTTACGAGGCCTAATACTAACATTTCTTGCGGCTCCCCACCTTAGCCATACGTAGGTTTGTCCTGGATAACCAACCTCTTGGAGATCCCTACGTTAGCCATACGTAGGTTCGTCTCCGCGGCTACTTCCTTAAAGCACCCGGTGTTACCTAACAACACTGGTCAAGCCACTAGTTTTGCCTAGTTTCGCATTTTAAGCAGGGGGGGGGGGGGCACCGGTGCACTCCTCGGTGTTCTCTCGGGCTCGTGGCACTTTGGCCGTGTCCACAGTCACACCTGGCCCAAGCGAAGAGCTTTAGGCCAGGCGGGAACTTATTACCTCAACTTCCTGTTTCAACCCCGCGTTTCGGGTGATCCTCGCTTTCTCTTAGACTCGGGCCTATCCTTTCCAATACCAGCCTGCATGTTCGCTCCTTTACACCATATATCAAAGTTGAGAGTCCTGTTCACCCCCTACCATGCTACACCTGAGGTCGTTGTTCGATCCTCGTTCTCAGTCGAAGTGTTCCGTATCTCCGACTGGATTGGTTCCCTCTTTAGTGTTGCGCCACCCCCCTCCCCCTTCCTTTTTAGTCCCGAGCTCACCCCCGCCCCTCTTGCTCCTACCCACCTCCTTTGGAGGTTCTGGCTACCTAGACGCGGTTTGCCAAAGTCCGCCCCCCCCCCCCCTCTCTAAATATCCCTCTCGGGCCCTGATCCGAATTAAAGCTCGCCACCGTTCATCCATGCCGGGGTTACCGGCTTATACATGATTCTATTTATCCCCTTTTGCCGTACCTAATCCTACTTCTAAATTCCTTTTTTGTTTTAAGTGCGGCAGGGAGGAGTGTTCGGGTGAGGGGTCCCCACAGCGTGTCTGATGGTCAGACGCGACTTCCGTGGATGGGCTTCAGCCGTCAGGCTTGCCAACCCGTCGTCGCTGCCACTCTTTCCCACTTGGCGAGTCTACCCTACTGGTGTTAGGCAGGGTTATTTCGTGTTCCCCATGACTCTCAACCGCTTCACAGGGAACAAATTGGGTTCCACCCTTCTCCAAGCTGGAAGGTTGTTTCCACTGTTTGGAAGGGTCACCACCCCTTCCACAGGGTCCGTAGATCCATCTGTGTGGTTCCGTGACTCCTTTTCCTACAATGGCGTAGTTTGGTCGGACGGTCACCACCCGTCCTAGGCCGAACTTCTCCCATTCTGTGGGGAGGTGCGCGAACCATTTTCTACGAGATGGTTATTGTGTTCGGTTACGGTGGATGCGCTGAGGCGCAGTCGGCGCATCCCTCTGCCTTGCGTGCTTCCTGTTACTAGTTTTCTTCGTTTGCTGTAGTGAGAAGTCTGATCGGGTCACGAGCGGGGGGACTCAGACGGCGTCAGCCGTAGGTATGGTGGCCTACGGTGAGTAAAGTACTGGATATTCCCGCTCTCAGCTCTTGATATGGTACCATGTCCTGTGCTCTACTCTTTCCCTTGCTATGTCCTTCTGTTCTACACCCAGCGGAGTAGGAGATCTGTGCAGTGTCGTTCCTATACGGTTTTTCTGCGAGATGCCCCTCAGTCCGTCTGGCGCCTGCTTTACTGATACCTTGTTCTGTGGCCAGGTACACCACCCCTTCCATGGAGTCGGTGGATCCATCTATGTGGTTCCGTGACTCCTTTTCCTACGGTGGTGGAATTCTTCTTAATTGTGGCCACGCCAGCATTACTGCCAGCGTGCCATATTTGTTGCTGCGGCCACATCAATGTTTCCATCGACGTGCCGTGCTCTTTACTGTGGCCACGCCGATATTTCTATCGACGTGCCATAATCCTTACTGTGGCCACGTCAGCATTGCTGCCAACGTGCCATATCACTTCCTTAGGTGTTTTGTCCGCGGGGGCCTATCCCCGACTCCCCGGCTACGGGTATTTCGTCCTAGACGGTCTTTCCCGCCGGAGAGCTTCCCCTTTCCGCAACCTGGGGACGCGCCACGTAGGGGTTCACCTCCCCTCCCATTTGGACAGCCAAACAGGTGCGCGGGGCCAAGCAACTAACAAAAAAAAAAAAGAACATAATCCAATATAAAGCCCCGGCTACGGAACCGCATCTCTGACTCGTAATAAATATATGACAATTAGGGGTGAGACGAGAATTTTTCTCGGGATCAGGATGGAATCCCGAGAATTTCAGAATCCCGAATACATCTAGGATCCCCGCGAATTTCTGCGGTTCCGAAACCAATTGAGATTCCCGGGAATTTCGAAATCACGTAAATGTTCGAGATTCCTGAAACGTCTGCGATTCCCGATATTTTATGTCTCTCCATACTTCCAACAATTACTAGAATCTGGAAGCCATTGTGTTTTCGAAAATTACATATCTTATTAATCAGGAACGTTTATGTTAGTAATATTGTAGAAAGTTATTGCAATTTTCGATATTTCTAACAATGCAGAATTTTAATATCGGTAGATATTTCTGAATGGATAGTCAATAACACAATTTTGTTCCGCGGAATCTCAATTAAGTATGTCTTATCTTATTCCAAACATCGGGATCTCGTGAGTTGTTCAACAAAAGGAAATTATTATGAGTAGGTATACAGGGTGCAAGACTAACAACGCCCAGAAGGAAATACCTAGAACAATTCTTCTTAGAACTAGACACGATACCGTCTTTGAAACCAGTCAAAATAGCATCCTTCCTAGAAGAGACCAACCCATGGAAAATGGACGACGCCCATTAACCAAACATAAGACACGTATTCCAGGATGACGAACATAGTGCGCGCAGAAAAAAAAAGGACTCGTACACCGCATCGGCACAAAGAGGAGCCACGGAGGACACCCCAAGTGGTTGAACCGAAGTGGTAACTCGTCGAGGAAGGGGTCCTGGCGGGGGGCATGGACGAGGCCCGCTGCCCTACCTCCTACAAGCATGAATACTCTCACTAGTCAAGTGTAAATGGCACTCCTCAGCAATGGGTGTAAAAAAGAAAAATAGTAACCATCGCTAGAAAAGGGTCTGCGCGCCTCCCTTATAGAGGAAAGTTCCCAGACCTAGGACGGGTGGTGACCGTATCAAACAGCCACACCATCTCACGGGAAGGTATAACGGCTACATGAAAAATGGACCCAACAACCTTGTGGATCGGGTGTTGATCTTTACCAATAAAAAAAAAAAAAACATAATAACCTTTCGATACTGAAAATAGGGGATCTCAAGTGAACCCTGTAGCGGGTAGTCACCACGTCATCCGGGTCGTTAGGGATTGAGAGCTACCGGGACACAACCCAAACTATCAAAACCCAAATAGGATAGGCCCGTTATAGTGTTAAACAAGAACGAGGGAGGTGGACGGGTGGTCACAAGCAGGCCTTAGCCCCAAGACATTGCGGGGAACTACCAGGACCACCCCACGACCCTTAGAGTAGGACTCGGAGGCATCAAGACGTAAGGTACAAGCCGGTAACCCGAACATCGAGCGATGTTAACGGGCCATTGGCGAGATAGGGAACCGAGAGGGATAGGTAAGCCAACTAAGGAGGAGGGAGGGTCTCTGAACTGCTCATGACCTAACTAACACCTCAATACAGAGGCGGGAGAGGTAAGAAGGAAGGGGGGAGTGCTAGGGAACAAAGTCAGGGAAGGGGGTGGAGGGGTGGTAAACTTGAAGGAATAAGATCCAGCCCGGGTTACGGAACACGTAGACTGAGTACGGTGTCCGACTAGCGACCCAGGTATAATCTGACAGAAGGTAGATAGAGCTCTCAATCTCGCCGACTCGGCGTAGAGGGTAAACACGCAGGCTGGCACTGCGGGTCCTGAGGGATGCGGTTTGCCCAACGCTCAGCTCAATCATTACCGATGCATAGGCAGCATGGCCCCGCCCAAGGATGGACCTCCCCGTAAAGTAGTGACGTCGTCGATAAGGATAGGCCCGGGCCAAAAGAAAGCGAGGACCTAGCGAGAAACGGGAAGAATCTATGGCCGGGTGGCCCCCCCCCCCCCCCCCCGGTCTTACAACTAGACCGGGGTAGACGAAACGGGCTAATACCCACACAGCCAAGAGGCCACACCGACGCCCCCCTCTGACCAACAAAGCAAAAACTATGGTCATCGTATTCGTCTTGAAACACTTTATAAGAATGTGCATATCTTCTCTATGCTTCCACCAATAAAAAAAACAACCCTTTTTTTTCTATTGTTACAAGTAAGCGAATTATTTAGGTAGCCTGCTTTAAATGCCTCACCCTGTATATATTAAAATTGTAATCGTAACTGACTTGAGTAAATGATTCACCCTTACTAACTATTGTGTTATTATTTTAGGTCAGTTCTCGGAATTACTTGCAGATATTGTGCCTATTCGTGAGGCATCGCTTGCTGTACCCCCACTATCGCTCTAGTATTTTTTATTCTCACAAATAATTACAATTTTTAATATTATGTTTAGGTCTATAAACATTTTGTATATGTAGCGTGTATCTGGAAATTGTCAGGGAAGTCGGAGCGGTCGGGCCCACGGCCAAACCCTTGAATTTCGAAGCTTCAAATATTCGAGATCTCAAGGGTCGCCGGGTCATAAAGTATCGTTTCCGTCGGCCTTGACTAGGAGAAAGTTTTTCCTACAATGTTGTGAGATTTCCTTGACGCACGCACCCTCATCGCACCGAGTCAAAAAAGGGACAGTTGTCTTCCAGCGCTAACGGTGCACGTTCGTCGATCGGAGAAACGCTCTTGAAACGACTACACGTGAATTTTGGAAAATAAGTATTATTAATTAATTTAATTAGTAAGCACAATTTTTTCGCACCTTCATCTTGTTCCCTTCATATATATACATATAATAAGAATAATGCATGATATAATAATTGAAATGTTGTCAAGAGCTTTCCACATGACCCAAGAGGCCTATTCCACTAAACGTTAATAAGGCCGATGATAAAATGTGACTTAGGAAGAAAATTGAATTTCCATTCGAAACAAAAATTTGGGGTTGGTGCGAAAAGAGAAGCATATGGTTGAAAGCATCGTATATACCAGTTCTGGCCACCACGCGGCCCGCCACGTTAAATTGTGCGGCCCGTCGGGTGGTATATGTATAAAAAATATTAAATAAATGAAAATTTGCATGTGTCATTACTACACTGATGGACAAAATTAAAGGGACACTTTTTTAAAACGTCATATCTATGGGAGTTTTCAACCGATTTTGGAGAAACTTCGCGAGGAGTAGTTTTGAAGTGTCCTCTAAATGTGCGCAAAGTTGCATTGGCGAGGGTTGACAGGAAGGGGTTAAGTCACCCCGTAAAGAGGGGCACGTCGAAAAACACCACTTCTGAAGAGGCCAGGGGTGACGGAAGGGGTTGAAAAAATCAAAAATACCTTTGGGGCGACCCTCCTCGATGCCGTCAACAAAATGCGGTTTGTCTCCGGTATGTATTAGGTTGTCCCGAAAGTTTCTTTCGCGAGTTGCACTCAATTATTTTATGTGGTCGTGTTTATATAAATAGACAATCTAATTTCATAGATATTCATGTTCTAACAGTAATGGAGCAAAATGAATCGTGCACAATTCAGTAATGTAACATAAAACATAAAATATTGTGCATGTATTACTTATTAATAAAGCGAAAGAAACTTTTGGGACAACCTAATAGGTCTTTTGAAGCTTTTTACTTACACCTCGAGTAGAATTTATTAAAATAAAGAAATACTTTGACCTTAAATTTCGTGGTCATAATGGATTTTTCGAACGGATTTTTCTGCAAATGTCCACCGATCCAGATGTGTACAAGAACCTCTGAAAGTAGTGACTATTAATTTTGTTACACACTGTAACACTGTACAATCTTACTTGTAAAATAAATGACAATTTACGTTTATTATTAATTGTTCCTATACTTACACTTTATCTTTTACTTTATTCTTACTTTGCTTTTCTGATCTCTTGCTCTGATTTCTACTTGCTCTTCTGATCTCTTTTTATCTCTCCTTATCTCTTTATCTCTATCGATATCGATTGATATTGATCCCCTATAATTATGTTCGCGCGGAGCGCGGTAGATTCAAATGTAGAAAATACATTTTCTTTACATGTATATATAAAAGATGATTATAGACCCAAACATAATATTAATAACTTTAATTATCTATGAAGATAAAAAATACTAGAGCGATAGTGGGGGTACAGCAGGCGATGCCTCACGAATAGGCCCGACATGTGCAAGTAATTTCGAGCACTGTTTTAGGTACATAACCGTTTTAGTTGAAATGTAAAATTGTGTTACAGATTTTTATTATATATAATCAATATTAATAACTTTTCTTCTTATTCTTCTATTAAGGTTTATTATGGAATCCAGTACACTTACATCGAACACATCTAGGCATAATTTCAGTTTTATTATCAATTAAGAAATGTCCTTACATACGTTATCAAAGTAGTTCTGAAATGGCAAAGAGATTGGCAGAAAAAATACGTGAAACATTAAATAAAGAATCAAATTCGTTCGAATTCAGGCAGGAGTCAAACCCAGTTTTACTTATACTCGATAGAAGAGACGATCCCATTACTCCTTTATTAAATCAATGGACTTATCAGGCAATGGTCCATGAATTACTAACTATTAATAATAATCGTGTTAATTTATCACATGTAAAAGGTATTTCAAAGGAATTAAAAGATGTTGTTCTTGACGCGGAACATGATGAATTTTATGCAAATGTAAGTACCGTGTTTAAAATGTCAATCATTTTAATATTTTTAAGTATTTTAAGTAAAAGGATACTTGTATTTTGAATAGAACTTATATCACAACTTCGGTGAAATTGGACAAACGATAAAAGAATTGATGGATGAATTTCAAAAAAAGGCTAAAAATCACCAGAAAGTAGAAAGTATTGCTGATATGAAAAATTTTGTAGAAGCTTATCCTTTATTTAAGAAGCTTTCTGGAACTGTATCCAAACATGTAACATTAGTTGGAGAACTTTCCTCGCTTATAGAAAATCATAACTTGTTACAAGTATCAGAATTGGAACAAGAGCTTAGTTGTCAAAATGATCATTCTATGCAGGTATGTACACTTAATCGTACTTCGTTATTATTTATTTGTAATAATGTTGTTTACTTCTAATTCTTCTTATAGCTGCAGAGAATAAGAGAACTTATTAATAATTACCAAATTCGAGAAATTGATAGCGTTAGATTGGTAATGTTGTACGCACTTCATTATGAAAAACACACAAACAATGATATTAGCGGTTTATTGAATGTATTAAAAAGTAAAGGGATTTCTGAAAAATATGTGAAGGTATATTAGAACTAATATAATTGTTGTCGAGATTTGTTATTTTATTTTGATATAAGTAACTAAAAGTAATGTTGTAGCATGTTCATAACATATTGCAATACAGTGGAATTAACACAAGGCAAAATAATCTATTTGATCGTGAATCGGTAGCGAAGATAACTAAAAAGCTATTCAAAGGCTTAAGTGGAATAGATAACATATATACTCAACACACACCTCTACTGAATGAAACAATTGAAGATTTAATAAAGGGAAAGTTAAGTCCACAAATGTTTCCATATCTTGGAAATACAATAATATCTAAAAGGTAAATTTTGTACATTTTCATGATCATTTTATTTTAAACAATTAGGAACAGACAACGCAATGTACTTATTTTTAATGTGTTAGTTACATATCAATTGTTGTTTCAGGCCGCAAGATATAATTATTTTCATGGTTGGAGGAACAACTTATGAAGAAAGCTTAACTGTCTATAATTTAAATAAACAAAATCCTGGAGTAAAAATTATTTTAGGAGGTACTACTATCCACAATTCTCAAAGCTTTTTAGAAGAAATTCAACATGCTACATCGGGTACCTTTTCAAAATATAGAAATAATAATAAGTAAAATTATAATATAATTTATAATATATTGTTAGTATATTATACTTTAAGTTCATATTTTTATCTAAATATTTATATTTACAATTGTGAGTAGTTGGCATATTGTAAATTATTTTTTTCAAGAAATAAAGTTTTGGTGGTAATAATTTTAAAGAAAATGGCTACAATAAAAATAACAAAATGTTGTATTAATATCATAGTTAAGGAGATAGACCCGAGTAATGCAGCGAGGTGACATTACTGGCAAAAATGGGCCTAAAGAAGGGTTTGGTAGATTTCGTTTTTCGTCCTTATATGAGAATATTTGAGGCTTGGTGATGGCTCATTCGAAAGAGGAAGGTTCAATACATGCGACTCCGGTTATAATTCAACGAGATTTTGTTAATATGTTATAACATGAGTGTCCAAAGTAGAGCAAAAATATCTCATATATATAAAATATTCTCATATAAGGACGAATAGTGAAAAATCGTAAAAGCATTCTCAAAGACAAGTTCCGCCATTTTGTGGATAATGCAGTGCCAGTTACGTAAGAAATTTAGTTCAGGAAATCGACACGAGATGGCGTTTTCTGAGGTATTGTTGTGTGGGTCGTGCTCCGTAAGAAACTCTCCCACAAAGAACATGAACAGACCAATAGGAATTCCCGTGATAACCTTTTTTTTGTATTTATTATAATAAATTGGAAGGGTGCTATATCTAATAAGATTTGATTTCTTTTTTCGTTATAACGTTCTTTATTTTTCTAGAGAACTGGTACGCTATTTCGTCGTGGCGCTCCGCTCACGTTCCTAGCCGGCACATTGTATTTTATTTTAATGTGCATGAATACATCAGATTCATGGCTTCCGTTTCTGGTAGTGAACGTGGTGAGAACTAGAAAAGGAGTGTGAAAGGAGAAAGGTGAAAAAGGTGTGGTAGAGTGAGTGTGCAGGAGCGAGGAGTGAGAGGATGGGCCAGAAGTGAAGGGCGGACCGAGCATGATGAAGGGTGTGTGAAGGGAGAGGCAGGGAAAAAGCAGGAAGTGAAAGAGTGAACGAGTGGAAAAGTAAGGTTAGGAAGAATAGTGAGACGATTGGAGGAGAAAGGAAGGCGAGGGAAAGTCGGGGAGAAGAAAGGGATAAAGAGAGGTTGAAAGAAGTGTAGGAGGCGGATAGATAAGAAAAGGATAAAAAAAGGGTGAGGGAAAGTGACTGGTAAGAAGGTGAAAGGGGGAAAGGTGAGGAGAGTAGATAGATAAATTGGACGGCAAAAGAACGAAAACAGGAAAGGAGTGGCGCGTAGCGAGGAGAGGAAATTCCGTGCTCCGTAAGGAGAGGAAGGTCTGAATCGGTAAAGAAGGATATGGGTGATAAGTGAAGAGAAAGGTGTGTGGTGGATTGGGGAGAAAGTGAAGAATATGGAAGGACAGGATAAAAAAGAGAGCAAGATGATGGGGATGGGGGTGGAGACAAGGGGTGCAAGGGAAGGAGGCAGGGAAGGGTGAGAAAGAAAGGGAGGGTAGTGTGGGAAGGAAGAAAGATCTGGAGGAGTTTTTGAAAGGGGGAGCGTCGGTCGGGAGGGAGGAAAGATGTATTTTAAGAAAAGTGGACTAATGCAAAGGTCGCCAGAGAGGGAAGAAGAGAGCATAGAGAAGATAGGGATAGAAGGGATGTAAAGATGTTGATGGAAATGATGGGGGAGATGAGAGAGATGAAGAAGATATTAGATAGAGGAGGAGAAGATAGAGACGACGATGGGGGGAAATGAGAGAGGAGATAACGAAGAGAGAGATGAGGGAGTTGATAGAGGGATCGATAAGGGAGGTGAAGGAAAAAGAAAGGCGGGGAGATAAGAAGGGGGGGAAGGAGGAAGAGAGGCAACTGGCGAATGTAGTGAAGACGCTAGAGAGGAGATTGGAAATGGCGAATACGGCGGACAGAAGGAAAAACATCATAATTAGACGGATAAAGACGGAATTGGGGAAAGAGAAGGATACGGTGAAGGAAATGTTGAAGAAGTTAGGGGTGAAAGGGGAGGTGTAGAGTGCGACGCAGATTGGTGGGAAGGGCATGGAGGTGGCATGGTTGCCGGATGAAGAAATGAGAAGGGTGAGGGTGAAGAGAGGGTTAGGTAGTAGAGGACAATCATAATTAAACACCAATCGACAATCAGTAAATCCAAAGTCTCAACGCAGATTAAAATCAAACGCGCGACGGTATATACAATGTAAACGGCCCGGTCGTCCCACGCGAGGAACCCCAGTAGCGTAACTATGTAAAACCCAGAAACTTTCCACGCGGCCACTTATTCATCACAAGGTATCAAGCGAAATACATCAACTAGCAATAAATATTATCCCCACATACACACTATCAACAGAACGCGAACATTAGAATCAGAATCACGCGCATATCACGAAAAACCAAATAACATAATAAAATATCTAGGAAAAAACCCTCGGGAACAAACGCGACAGAATATGATCTTTAAATACGCACCGTCATACAAATCCAGACTTCCCGACGAAATATTCCAATCTAAAAAAAAAACTTCCTCGACACAATCACAAATCACACACGATAATCGAAACACATCGCGCACACGCGTAATAAAAAAATTTGCAAATAGCTAAAATCGACAAACCGGAAACATGAATTATTCCCCTCGCCCGGGTTAAGACCAACGAAAACCGAAATAGAACACAACAAGATACAGCAGAACCCAAAAACCCAAAAACACAAAACCCGAACATATAACACAAGTCACGAAACTGATCTCACTCCCCCCCCCCCCCTTAAAAAAAACCCCAAAAACCAATAACCAAACAACAACACTAGAACAAAAACACCGAAATATCCCACCAAATATGCCCCAGCCGACTACAAACTACATGCAAAAACACTCCAGGCCTAGCATAAGGACAACCCATCGAGACAATACAACAAGACTATCAGTACAGTATGAAATCCCCACCCCCACAGAAAGCAACCCAGTAAAACAACACAAAAGAACACACCAACTGAAGACAGACGACAATAACACAAACAAAACTCACCTGTTTTACTGAAGGGAGGTAATAAGAGGTGCAGAGCGACGATGATGATCTCACAAGCGCGAGCGGCTGATCACTACAAAACGCCTCACTGAAAAGAAAAAGAAAACAACAATCAAACAATCAACCACACCAAGACTCCACATCACAAAACACCCGCAACAAACGTACACCGCCCCCTCCCATCACAAAATACACAACTACGCCAACAAACATCCAATAACGCATAACGACTAATTCATATAGCCATATTCACTCGGATCGGCGACGCAATCAGTAACGCCCAAAACAACAAAATCCTCCACTGAAACAAATAAAATATAAAAAAAAACAATTAACATTGCCGACTCTGGAAACAACATAATCATACCTAACAATCCCCTGAATACTGTCAAGCCCCCCCCCCCCCCTTCATAATTCCAAACCTCAACACAAAAACCGAATACTTACTAATAAAAATTCCACCACACCGACGCCAGCACGTAACCCAATAAAAATGCAACACAAAAATAGCTCACACGGCTTCTAAAAGAGAAAATATAAACTTGACACCCAAACAACACAACCAGGACAACAAAACTACCGGTCTAACTCAACAAGAATTCATCTTACCAACAAGACAGCGCTCACGATATTAAAACTGCAATGACCGAACAACCAAGAGACCCACTACACGAACTAACCAACCCCCACCTAACACTACCCGCACTATGAAAGCACCCCCAACACGACAGAATACCCCCACCATGACAAGACTCCTCACACCAGAACAAAACCAAGATACGCAAATCCACAACAGCGAAACCCAAACGACTCCGGACACAGCCAACCGAAACATGAAAAGGCAAAAGTGGCCACCACACCCAACCAACGACAATACTCCACACACACATACCACCAATGCCACTACGAACCGTCTCCCCAATACCAACACAATCATCGTATAACAGTCCAACCACAAACAAACATACCCCAACACCCACAACAACATCCCCATCCAACGAACAAATACCACAAGACAACCAACAAATAGACACAACAACACACCCCATAACAACCCAAGACACACGGACAATACAACCAACGAGCACAACACAGCGACAAGAACCAACACAGAAAACCAACCAAACAGACACCTCACCACAAACAAGACATCTCCCGGAGAAAATCTAATAAACTAACACCAAAGATGGATACCACCCCAAGGAAAATACTCCGCTACAAACACCCACACCCCCACACAGAAATGGTTAGACACCTCCTCAACAGAAACAAACTCTAAACTCCTAACAAATACACAAATACAGTAACTATACCGCCTACCATCCGACGTACCCATGATGCATCAGCAAATACACTCCACTAACTATCCTCCCCAAATATCACATGAGCAACGCCCCAAGCTGCAGAATTAACCAGACAATAATAACTCTTCTTCCCCCACAAACATTCGACTACACTCCCCTGCTCAACAACATGTAAACAACAACAACGATGAATCCAACTAGACTACAATTATACCCATAGTCCAGGAACTTAAACGAATATCAAATACACATCACACACAAAATTAACTAAACGACACATAGACTAGGAAAACAAACCAGATAGCAATAACATCTTCTTTAAATCATAGTACCCCCAACCGAGCCCACCCACTGAAATCAACTAAGACTTAAAACCCCCCTAATCACGCGACCAAACATAGGTAAACGCAACCTAACGATACAACTAACACCTGATCTCATCAATACAGTCTTAAACCCAACCCCCAAACATCCATACGAGTCCAACCGCAGAAAGGGAAAGAGGAAAAGACAAAAGTAATCAATTAGTAATTAACCAAAAAAATACTCAATAAATAGGCATTTATTTCCGACATTGGTCAGTTGTCTCAAAAGAATAACAATAACTTAACCTAGTCCGATATAATTAAATACACACTCACAACACACTTATAAATAGCGCATACAATACCTATTAACTAAAACAAATAATAATAAAAATAAAATAAAACTAGAACACGCACACACACACACACACACACACACACACACACACACACACACACACGCACGCACGCATGCACACACACAGAAATACAAAACGCACACCGACAACGGC